TGGACTACAGAATGCAGGAAAGGAAAAAACCATCGAGGAAGTCTGGAAGGATGGGTTTTTCCTACTATGTGCTGCTTGCCCCCAACCAGAATTATGGCTCTGGCTACATTGTGGAGATCATGAGGTCATCGAAACACAAAGGTCAATGAGGAAATGGACTTATTGACACAAAAAAGGAAATCTGCCAGACTTCAATACCAATTAGAGCTTCTGGTCCACTTTCTACTGTCTACTATTCGCCATTCAACTTTGATGTGCTGGCACCCTAAAACGGTTCCTTCTTCATGCTGTTTTGCTGTCATCAGTCCATACTTAGGCAAGGCCTTTCTTTTTCCTTTGTACACTAAATGAAATTCAGGTCCTCTCCCACCCTCTTCCAAACCATCTTTTATACTGTTTCCATAATAGTCTTTCTTATTCCAACATGGTGCTCTGCTATCCTAACTGGTGACTACCTCTCCCAGAGCATTATTTTCAAGCCATGTTAGCTCCCTGAGATCTTAGAAATCCAGCCCTTATCAGAGATATTTGATGCAAACATTTTTCTAGTATCCTATTTTCCTAGCTGAACATATTTGGTCAGTGCAAAGGTTTCTCAACCTAATGCAATCAAAATGATCGTGTGTGTGTGTGTGTGTGTGTGTGTGTGTGGTGGGGGGAGGGAGAGACAGAGACAGAGAGGTGAGACATTGATTTCTAGTTAAGAACTCTCTTGCTAGCTGTAGCTGTCAAAGCTTCCTAATCTTTTTCTAGTTTCATTTTTTTTTTCCACGATGAGACCTTGAATATTCAGGTTATGTACCCATATTGAGCTTATCATGGTATACAGTCTAAGCCAGTCAGGCCATTTTTTTTTTTTGGTTGAATTTCTGCCAAACTGCTTTCCGGTTTTCTTAGTACTTGTCAAAATACGGAATCCTTTCCCCAAGTGACTTATGCCCTTGGTTGTATCAAACACTAGGTTATTGAGTTTAATTATGTCTGAGTCTTCCTCATGTAGCCTGTTCCACTGATTTACTTGTCTATTTCTTTTTTTTGTTTTTGTTTTTTGTTTTTAGGCAATTGGGGTTAAGTGCCTTGCCCAGGGTCACACAGCTACTAAGTGTCAAGTGTTTGGTCTGAGGCCGGACTTGAACTCAGGTCCTCCTGACTTCAGGGCCGGTGCTCTGTCCACTGTGACACCCAGCTGCCCCTACTTGTCTAGTTCTTAACCAGTATCAAATTGCTCTGATGATTATTGCTCTATAGTAGAAATCTTGAATTCTCCCTTCACTCCTATTTTTTTTGGTCAGTATCCCCTTGACATTGTAGGCCTATTGTTTTTCCAAATAAGTATAATTTTGTCTAGTTCTATAAAGTATCCCACGATAGTCTGTTACAGCACTAAATCTCTAGATTAATTTGATCAGTATTGTCATTTTTATTATATTGGCACTGTCCAACCATGGGCAATAAATACCCATCCAATTACTTGTCTCTTTAAAGACAAGTTTGTAACTGTATTAATATAAATCTTGAGTGTGCCTTGATTAATTCCCAGATATTTTATGTATTTTACAGTCATCTTGAATTGGACTTCCTTTTTTCATTATTTCCTCTTGCATTTTGTTATTGCTATGCAGAAATGCTGTACAGATTCTAAGAAGAAGAGAGAAGGGATCTCATTCCCTGAATGGGGGACTGTGTGTGCAAGGGGACAAGGATGGAAGATGGAATGTTTTATTTGGGGAACTGCTAGTGGGCCAGTTTGGCTTGAACACGGTGTACGAAGTGGAGCAAGCAATCTGAAATGTCTAGAAAGACAAAGTGGAGCTGGATTGTAGAGTTTGCATCTTTGGGGAATTAAGATGACTTGATTCCAAACCCTGGTTACTAGAAAGAAGATGGTGTCCTCAACAGAAAGAGAAGTTCAGGGGAAAGAAAGGACAAGGGGAAGCTGCATTTTAGATATTCTGGAGTTTGAGGCGCTGATGGGCCATCCAGCTGCCATTTGATGCAAGACTAGATTTCTGGAGAAATTGGAGCTGGATGTACACATTTTTCTGTCTTTCACTTAAATCAGCATTTATCAAACAACTACATGTGTCAAGCACTGGAGATACAAAGACAAAAGCTCTGAAGCCAAAGAAGACGTGGCTTCAAATCATACCTCTGATGGTCACTGTATTGATGGGACCTTGGAAAAATGATTGAAACTCCCCAAGGCTGTTTCCTCCTCTGTAAAATGACGCTGGATCAGACAGCCTCCAAAATCCCTTCCAATGCTAATCCATGGTCTTGAAGGCTAAGTAAATCGAAAACCTACAAAAAGTGATACACCTCACCAACCCATCCTGACCAGGAGGTCTTTTTGCCTGTCCCCCGTGCCTAACTCTATCCCTCTTCATCTCCTCCTCTTGACTTCCCTGGCATCCTTCAGGTCTCAGCTAAAGTCCTACCTCCAGGAAGTCTTTACTAGTTCTCCACAATCTCAGTGCCTTCCCTCTGAGGACTGACCTTGAGATTAGACTGCCAAGAATCCTGTTTGTACATACAGTATTTGTTTACACATTGTCTCCTCCATGACACTGTGAGCTCTTCAAAAGCAAGGATTTCCCCTTTTTGCATCCTCTGGTGTGTAATAGGCACCTAATTGACACTTATTGACTTACTAGCTAATCTATGGGGGAGGGAGGACTGGAAGGAAGCAGTAACAGATATCTGAGGGAATCAGAAAAGGTGAAAGCCTGAAAGGAGCTAGGGCTTCCAAAATGTAGAGAGGAGGAAGAAGAGGGGTTTGGAGGCAGAACAAACAAGATTTGACAGCAGACTAATATGGGGGGCCGAGGATGACTCAGAAGTTATGAATCTGGACGTCTATCAGGATGGTAGGACTCTCAGCAGAGGCAGGGAAGTTGGGGGGGGGCAGAGGAAGATCACAGACTCAGAGAAGGGATTTTGAAGTCAACCCTCTCACTGTACAGCTGAGGAAACTGAGGCCCAGAGAGATGGAGGGACTTGCTCAGGGTCACACAGCTAGTGAGTGCCTGAGAGGAGGCTTTCAGGTTTTCTGTGCCCTGCACTGTGCCTGGAGGTGCCCAGCCAGCAGCCTCCTGTCCTGACTTCATGCCTGGACATCAGCAGAGAGGGCTGGGCTGGATGTGTAGGCTTGGCAGCTTGGACAGCATGTGGAGCACACGAGAGGAACGAGGCTCCCTCAGTAAGAGAGACCGGAATCACCAGAGCTGAGCCCCAGGATGGGACAGAGGGGACAAGACGGAGCCCTAGGATGGGACAGAGGGGACAGGCTGGAGCCCCAGGACCGGACAGGACAGAGGGGACAAGACAGAGCCCCAGGACCAGACAGGACAGAGGGGACAA